GGAAACTGGGAGTTGCATTGGGAAACTGAAAAGTTGTATTCGGAAACTAGACAGTTGTATTCGGAATAAGTTGTATTCCGAAACTGGAAGTTGTATTCAGAAACTTAACATTTGTATTCGGAAACTAGAAAGTTGTATACGTTACTAACAAACTGGAAAGTTGTAATCGGAAACTGGAAGTTGTGTCGGAAACTCGGAGTGGTAATTAATGTGATTGTTTGGAAACTGGGAGTTGGATTCGGAAACTGGACAGTTTAATTCGGAAACCACAATGTGGGGCCCCCAAGTTAAATTAACCTTAAGGGCCAGGGACATCTAAGTATACTTAAAGAAGTTAAGTTGAAGTTATGCTAAGTCATTTTAGGGTGTGTTCTAACTTAACTTATATCTTCGACCTTCGGTAACTTTTTACGAGGTTCAAGTTTTAATTTTGACCATGTGTCACTTCTTTTCTTTGTGGTTTTCATTTCAATGTTTTGCAAACCTGTTTTAACGTTGCAAACTGGTGTTTTTTCACGGCAAGGACATGACCACCTCGCTTTTAGCGGTGGTCCAGGCTGGCACATGTAGGTTCACCAAGCTTTGATAATCTACCATTTCTTTTTCGTTGCTATGTTTGAAGATTCTGTATGAAGCACCTTGGCTAATTAGAAACAGCTCTGTAATATAGAAATGCAAAATACTACAGAAAAGTCTGCTAGAAACAGCTCTGTAATATAGAAATGCAAAATATTACAGAAAAGTTGGCAGCAAGGAAACACAAAGAAACTCATTTTTGACACATACACGTTTCCTGCTTATTTGGGTTTTCAATAGAAACGCAACCACGTGTCCTTTCCCTTCGTTAACGTCGTTAACTTTTGCCTGAAAACACAATCGCTTTCCCTGCTGCTCAAGGAACCACATGCTCTTTTGAAAATTTCTCACTTCCAAGGGGAGACACATTTTTGACACATTTGCATTTCCTAGCTACATTGCTTGCTTAGTCAGGAAACAGAAGAGCGTTCATAGGTTTATTTTAAAGGGGAAACACGCGTTTCAAGGAAAAAACACATTTTTGGAGGAAACCCAAGCGAGTTTCCTCTCCAGGGCTCCTTTGCTCTCCTCTATTGCAGTTTCAGTTTCAGATTTGTACAGCAAGATTCATGCAACTCTCGGCTTGTACTGCTTACCTGCCGTTTCCATAGCTGTTTTCTTCGTTGCCCGTTAAGGAGAACGTCCAAAATCTCCTGTCTCATGAACAGCAGAAAAGTATAGAAAAGTCCTATAATCCTGCATGCTCTCCCTGCGAATCTGCTGATTTGCAGCTTCAGCCATGGCGCTCAACAAAAGGCCTCGCTGGAACCACCAAGAACAGCTGAGTTTATCGGCTGGCCAACAGATGCTCCAAATTTGCGACACAAAAAGAAAACTTGTCTAACTTGCGGTGTATCTTTTTTGGATCCAGAGGCTATCTCAACGTATATATAAGTTGGCTGAGTTCTTACATAGTTGACCATACTTACAACTTAAGTTGCCCCACGTTACAGTTTAAGTTACCCCGTGTTACAAACTAAGTAATAACTGGGGGGCCCCACATTGTAGAAAGTTGTTTTCGGTTAACTTTCCAGTTTCCGAATCCAACGTTCCAGTTTCCCAATGCAACTAGAAAGTTGTATTCGGAAACTGGAACGTCGGATTCGCAAACTGGAAAGTTGTATTCGGGAACCTTGTAAGTTGCATTCGTAAATGTTTTCGGAAACTGGGAGGAGAAGTCATAGAAACTACTGGCATGATGATCTGCGAGATGTCAATGCCACACAAAGGTGAAACTCATTTTCCCCCACTCGCTTCTCACCTCAGTGACTGGTTCCAGCAGCAGCAGCAGCAGCAGCAGCAGCAGCAGCAATGGCTATAGTACAAAAAGTTCAAGCTACTTTGCCAACCAATGTATTGCTCACAGGGGGTGGTGAATTTGATCCCTTAATAAGTTGAAGCAAAACAAATTGTGTTTAAGGGGTGGTCGTTTTGAGGGGATGGCCGTTTTGATCCCTTATTACAATGAGGACGGCTAAGGTAAAGTTACGGCCTGGAATCATCGTTTGCCCAGAATGCAATTCATGACGTCTTGGTGAAGCAGTTTACAGGAAAACACTGGTTTTTGCAATTGAAAATTGGGTTTCCTGCTAAATTTGTCTTATACAGTCCAGTTCTGGTAGAGGGGCTATTCCCAAAATCCCTGTTTGTTATGGATTGTCTACACCATTTCTTCACAGAACTTGCTAGGACGATGCAACAAATGCCATCCACTTCGTAGAATTTGGAACCCTCATGCCCTGTCCTCTCCCGCGCAGATAATGGTATATCAAAACCATCCAAAACCGATGAGTTTCCGGCTACATCTGAATGAAATTCAGGTTCAATTTCGGATCAGGTTGGATGCGACTATGCGATTTAGATATTTGTCCCGGTACCTGCCATTCCCACAATAATCGCACCTGCCGTCCTTGCATCCACGCTCTTTCCTGAATGGCATCATATGCTCTGCAGACCCAGCGACGCAGGCAGCGATGCAAGTTCAGGTCAAGATAAGCAAGTCATCTCTTGGACCCACGGCTATTGGCTAGTGGCTGGTGTTGTCCACTCAATCTTAAATAAAGTTGCAGTGGATGCAATTAAACGATTGACCGAATCTTGACCGAATCTTGACCCTTACCTCGCTCATTTGTAGATCATCTATATACTGATGGAACGTACGGATGTTTGATAGAACCATGTAAAATTAGCGGGCCGTTTCCAATGACAAATGTCCTGACACATAAAATGGCCACTGTGGGAGTTGAGTGCTTATGTCAGAAAGCATCGCCAGCGCTTCGGTATTTTGTTGAGGTCTTTATCAAGCCATGTTTGGCGCTGCTGGTCGACTGATGTTTGTGATGACGATGACGACAACAATGACGATGACGATGATGACGACGACGATGATGACAGTGAAGAAGACCATGACATGATGACAACGCTAACGATAACCATGACTACGACGGCGATGAGGATTAGCAAAGAATCAGATTGGAATAGAGTAGACACATGTAATGTAGAAACACTATTTAACCGTCTTGTGGTTGAACAATGGAATCGGACAAATCAATACAAATCATGGGTTAAATATGGTGGAATCGGATGATGAAATGAATGGACAAATGGAATATAAATAGAATGATAGAATGCATAAATTGCATTCAATTATCCACCCCTTTTAGGGATTAGATATGTCAAAAAGGGGTGGTCACCCGCCACCCCATATCTAGACATATTTCAGCAAAAAAAGTTCTGGCTTATATACTGTAGAATAATGCAATGGAAAATCTTAGTACTGTCAGTGATAGCGGGCACCAGTGGGAACATCCGCAGCAAAGTGTGGGATGCAGTCAGGTACGTGCAAACGGGCTGAAGCGCGCATTTCCATGGTTTTTTTCTCTCCCCAAGCTTCCCTTGTGAATTTTTTGAGGGGCGGGGGAGGTGCAAAACCATGGATAACCATGGTATTTTAAAGCTTTGGAAGCCATGCCATACCGCCCACAGAAATTTCATTGCCGCAGTAAGATTCCGTTTCTGGGTATTTGCCGGGGCGAACCCTATTTAGCCAACAAAATCAGTGGTATCCACCTTGGTCGCAAAAAAAAAACATGTATTTTTTTAGCAAGGGGGAAGGTGCAAAACCATGGTATTTACAGCTCTAGAAGGCCCCCCCCCTCAGAAATTCCATTGCAGCAAGGTTCGGTTTCTGGGTATTTAGCCGTGGCAAGTCTTCAAAGACCAGGGGCTGGAGTTCGCAGAGGTCATATGCGGTTTGATTTTTGATCTATGTGTATCCAATTGACATATCTTCCAGGCTAAAGTCTCCCCCCACCTCTCTTGGAAGCCCCCAACAAAAAATGTGAGGGGGGGTATATTTCATGTGGTCAGGTGAAATAATTACTGTTCAGATTTTTCTTGTCTTACCCCCCATTTTCCAAAGTTAAAGGGGGGATATGAAATTGCATTGAAGTGCATCATAGAAAGATGCAACAAATTTGGAATGAGATACGTAGAATGATGGCAGAATTGAATGGGTAATTGAATGAACAGAATGAATAGAATGATGGAATGATCAAGTAATGGAGTATGCAATGAAATAATGGAATGATGATTCGGATGGTGGTGGCGGTGGTAGTGGCGGCCTTGGCAGTGCTGGATACGGGTGGGGCGGTGTAAGGGAGGATGAGGAGATTGAGATAAGGATGATAACGGTGATAGCATCTGATGTTATGCGACGGCATGATTCGGAATCTGCAACTATCATGATAGTGTCTGATAGCGCGTAAGCTGCAGGTGGCATTTCGTATTCCGAAAGATAGTCAGTTGGGGATCCCACATCCAGCGGGATGGGAACGTCAGCCTAATCAGCTACGCATGGCGAAAAACCCTTGGCGAATCTGCGGATTTTTCAACCTCATTGCATGGAAACATCATGACACCTACTGCGTATGATTATAATATGTACTGTATACAGTATTATTTATATACTGTATGTATATATATAATGAATCAAACGCACCGTCCATATATCACTATGGGACCGACCCCGCCAACGATAAAGAATTGGAAGTGCCAACACCCTGTGCCGCAGTGAATGTTCGAATATTTGCAATACCCATCCCAACCATCCTCTAACAACAGGTGATCGTTTCTCCTGGTTTTCCTGTGTCCAAAAGTGAATGTGGGAAGTTTGGGAAGTCACAAAGACATGGCCCCTCGGAACGCCAGTGGTCGGCCACCAGAAACTTCGATGTACTTTATCGTTGTTGTACCCCCTGATCCCAGAAAGTGGTGCCTATGTTTCCCTTATCAAATCTTAAATCTTATCGCATCTTACATTCCATGGATCTTGCGAATCATCACCGACATGCACCACCTTGGACCAGGAGACCCTCCCCAGAAAACGAGACGAACTCAGCGCCTGAAAACCCACGCTGCCAGCTGCCAAGACACCCGCTATATTTGCAAGCCGCATTACAACCTCGACTATAAAACGGTGAACTCATCGCGGTAGTCCCGGCAGTCTTCCCAAATAACATGAAAATAAGGTTAATATTGTGAATGATATAATTGAGACGTCGGTGTATGAGTCAACATTAAATTAATACTGCCCGACATGGATGGGTTCATTTTTAACAAAACAATTTGTGTGGGTGCTACACATTGCCCCCAATTTTGACCCATCCCCACATGTTGAAACCACAAACGCACCAGGCCCACGTAAACCCCTGCCAAACTTCAATCCGAAACTTCTCGTCTCTCGGGTGGTTTGTCATTTGTACCCAATCATCATATATCGATGCCATTTGAGGAATGCAACTGTGAACCAAGAGGGTCCCATCACCCCATAATCCATAACAAACAAACCCAACAAATAATTTGTAAACACCTGGTTGGTCTAAGAGTTCCATCTCAACAGCAAACGGTCACCTTCTGGGAATCATCTGGAACGAGAAAACCAACAAGTGTCCATTCACCGCCATGCGCTAATGATCAACTGCCAAGATTTGCATTAAAACCCCATGTTTGAATATATGTCTGTATACGTATGTTTACTTGTTGCGCATTTGACTACTAGGTTCCCGACATAATTAGCCGTGTGGTTTCGTGATCATCATGTCAGCATAAATGCCGTTTTCGCCACGGCAAAATTTGATTTTTCAACTTGTTGGCTGAAAAACGACATTTTTATTTGAATTCATTTCTTCAATTTGGTTCTGCTGAAACAATTTTGTTTTCCCTCGTGTCAGAAACATTTGCACGCCTTCACTGTGTATAAAATAATACTCACGTGCGCGCGTGCCCTCTGAGCGCGCAGTGACTGTACGTTATTGCCACCCCACCTCCCACCCACCCCACCCACACAACGCCGGTGAAGCAAGAAAAACGCCAAAATGGCACAAAACACCATGGCCATCTATCAGTCGGGCTCCAACTACCAGATAAGATAGATAGATTAAATAAATAAAAATATATATATATGTATATATATATATATATCGATAATATATTTTTTCCCTTCATTGTGTATTCACTATTAAACATGTAAATATACAAATGTAAATAAATAATATTATATATGGGTATACATATAATGCAATTAAAATTATATATATATACCGATATATGAAATGCGTAGTATATATAAATAAAAATATATACAATAAACAAAATAGGTATGTGATCATATGTCCGTGCTTTAGAGATACATGCATAGACGTTGTGCACACATATGTAAAGATACGTATGCAAATTAAAACGCATACCAATATCACAAATATATTAAATGCATCTGAAAATGTGTGTGTGTGTGCTCCACCTTTTTGGTGGGTACGGGTATATTGACTCGAAGCAATCATCCTGTCAGTTCGTCCTCCGTTCTCCCTCTGGGCAAGGCTGAGCAAGGCGCTGTAGGGATGTCCAATGGAGCCTTAGCTGATCCGCCGGTCTGAGAAGCTTCAAGACGTCTGTAAACGGTATTGCGGGTCTGGCAAAAACATCATTTTGGTGGCTGATATTTCCATAAATTCATTAGAGGTACAGATTTTCATGAAAACGTATGAAAAATTGACATCGTGAATGGACAAGAAAATACCGCTTATTGGTTCACCACAAGTTATAAAATTCTGTGGCCCATGGAAGAAAGTACGTGTCTGAAATATTGGGATTTGAAGCATCTAAATCAGAAGGGCAACAAAAATTACAGGCGTGTGTTAGATCCTGCCCCCTCTTTCCGATTCCTCCCAATTGGTTGTGAGAAAAAATACTTTACTTCGAGTGATCCCCGCCCTGACACTTATTCGTCATAGTTTCACCTGGAACTATATTTGGTATAATCTTCTGACATTCTATTCTGCCATTCTATCTGGCATCCTATCTGACATTCCATTCTTGCATTCTATCTGGTATCTATTCTGACATCCTATCTGGCATCCTTTGTGGCATCTGTACTCACATTTTCTCAAGCATTCTATCTGGCATTTTTTCTGCCATATGTTCTGGCATACGTTCTGGCATGCTATCTGGCATCCTATCTGACATTCTATTCTGGCATTCTATCTGGCATCTATTCTGACATTCTTGTCTAGGTTCTTTGTGGTTGAGGTCCGGCGGGGAACACTCTGATCCGGAGCTCGTGGTTGAGGTCCGGCGGGGGACACTCTAATCCGGGGCCTGCGGTGCAAGTCAAGCGGGGATCACTTTGATCCAGGGGTTGCTGTTCAGGTCCGGCGGAGAGCACCGCGCTCTAGAGCTTGCAGTTGAGGCCCGACGGGGATCACTTTGATCCAGAGGTTGCTGTTCGGGTCTGGCGGAGAACACCGCGCTCTAGAGCTTGCAGTTGAGGTGCGGCGGGGATGACTTTGATCCAGAGATGCTGTTCGGGTCCGGCAGGGAACACTGCGATCTAGAGCTTGCAGTTGAAGTCCGGCGAAGGAGGAGGAGAAGGACGAGGAGGCGGCGGGCCAGCTGACATAAAATTTAACAACCCTCACCTGATAGGTGAGGAAAGACGCTGGTAATTCTTGGATGGATTTATTTCATTTGATGACAACCATCTACTAGTACGCACCCCCAACAGTTTCTTGATTTTTGTTCCGCCTGAATTGGCCATAGAGGCATGCCCAAAGACTGCAAGCAGTTTGCTTAAATAGAGAGTCACTCCATCTAGCCAAATCTCCTATAATTTTAATCTAACCTATTTATCTATCTACCTCCACTTCTCTATTCGCTTTTGTGCTAGTTCTACTTCTATGTCTATTCTAGTCAATCTTATTCCATTCTACGTGGTCCAATCTAAGTTACCTAAGCGTCTAAGCTGTCTAAATAAAAACAAATCAGGTCTAGCTAACCTGTCTACCCTATCCAACCTATATAATTACTCGTCTATCAGTCTATCCGTCTATCTATCTATCTATCTATCTAATCTATCTAATCTATCTAATCTATCTAATCTATCTAATCTATCTATCTATCTCTCTATCTATCTATCTATCTATCTATCTATCTATCTATCTATCTATCTATCTATCTATCTATCTATCTATCTATCTATCTATCTATCTATCTATCTATCTATCTACCTAGCTATCTAGCTATCTAGCTATCTAGCTATCTAGCTATCTAGCTATCTAGCTATCTAGCTATCTAGCTATCTAGCTATCTAGCTATCTAGCTATCTGCCTATTTGCCTATCTGCCTATCTGCCTATCTGCCTACCTGCCTATCTGCCTATCTACCTATCTACCCTTGTATCTTTCTATCTCTCTCTCTATCTGTCTATCGCTCTATCGATCTATTTAGCTGTCTATCTATCTATCTACCTACCTACCTACCATCTATCTATCTATCGATCTATCTATCTACCTAATCTATCTAATCTATCTATCTATCTATCTACCTACCTATCTATCGATCTATCTATCTATCTATCTACCTAATCTATCTAATCTATCTATCTATCTATCTATCTACCTACCTACCTACCGATCGATCGATCGATCGATCGATCTATCTATCTATCTATCTATCTATCTATCTAATCTATCCATCCGTCCACCCATCGATCCATCCATCCATCCATCCATCTATCTATCTAATCTATCTATCTAATCTAATCTAATCTAATCTATCCATAAGCCTATCTATCCATCCCTCCGTCCATCTATCTAAATATGAGGTGTTCTTGGAATGGGGGATCCCCAAAACCATGGGTGTGAGTACTAAAATGGTCTGATTTAGATGATTTGGGAGTATCCGCATTTTGGGAAACGTCCATATGTCAACATACCGTTCATTGGAGTTTCAATCATCCCCCAAGGGTTGCTTCACCCGTTGGGATCACACCCCGAATGCCAAGTCACCTCTTGAAGGTGCCAGTTCGGGGGGGATCGCCGCCACCCATTCCACACCTGGCGATCCCAAATACTGCATGATGCTCTCCATGCAATCTTGGATCCAACCATGATAAATTGTGCCTGGACTAGTAACATTTGGGATTAATGGGAAATAAATAAAGATGACACCATTACGATCGCGCAAGTAATTAGTTTATATTCGTTTATGATTCAGTTGTGTTTAGCTAAAAAAACAAGAAAGGAACAACTCAACTGGAATCAATGATGGTTTTGCAAGCAAAGAGGTCTAGCATCATCAATATTCTAAATATATTTGTCCGGTTGTGTTGCTGTCTTTCACTATATTTGAATATAAGGTTGTATGTGAATATACTAGTGCGAAATCTTCTAGTTGCCGATTCCTAGCAAAAGATGCTTAATTGTAAGTAATCGAGGCGGGTTGTATGCTAGCTTACTCGAACCTGGGGAAGGTCCAAAGCGGTACAGCGAAGCATGCAAACAAAGGGGTTCCGCCCCCTAATCCCCTTTCTTTTTTTACGTCGAGGAAACGTAGGGTATATATATATATTATATACATTATATATATAAACGTGTATATAATTATACATATATACATATTTGTATGCATATATACATTTATATATAGTGGATGGTCTAGAATGAAACAATCATAGAGGAAAAACCGGTGAAGAAAAAAACGCCACTAAAAAAGGAAAACGTGTTGAGGGATCATGTTGCTCCTTTGAAACCAAAATTGAATACTTTCAACCCATCCCAACACACCATTTCAACAACGGTCATGGCCAAATACATGCTAAAAGAATAATAAAAATAAAACCATCATCCAGTCATGGCTGGGGGTCGGGTCAGTATGTGGCTTGTCCTCTTCCTAAACTGTGTCATAAACGGCTGGCAAATCATCATACCAGGGAGGATGGAAAACTTCAATGAACATGTTGAGATCCTAACAACAACCAAAAAAACATAAAAAAAGGAGGCAAACAAATATGGTCTTCTTTGAAACGTTCAACAAAAACTGTTGCAATCGATTACTGTGTAGCTGACTTTGATTTGGGGACATCACCTCTTGGGATTTTCCGCCAATTTTTTTCCAGCAGATCTCCATGCCCATGATAGACCGCAAAAACAAGAGCTCGCAGAGTCCACAGTTTCTTTCTTGGCAAAACGTCTGAAACTTCAATGCAAAGTTCTGGACCCTAGACCCTATCTATTTGCCATGGGACCGGAAGGAACTTGCCTGGGTAACCCTTGGAAAAATGCGTCGAATTGGGATTGGTAGTGTAACAACCCATCACGCCAAGCTCCATGGAAAGAGGGTTTCATTTAAGTATTCCATTCTCCTAAATGAATGCTCAAATCCCCCAAAATAGTCAAAGCATGTGAAAACTGTTCAACGAAGAATGAAATTGTACGTAGTATAAGTGGGACATTTGTTGTACAGGAGGGGTCTGGGTACACCCGGACCTGGAATCTGAACCTTGCAAAGTTATATAATCAACATATCATCTGCATTTGAAAGTGAAGCAACATGTGCTCTCCGAAGAGGTTCCTAATAAGAATCAAATTTCCTCACTCAGCAAAAACCTGTCCAATCTCTAGTGTCACACGATTAAAAAACATGCACTTGGCGAAGAAGTTCCCTGGTAAGAGCCAATCTTTTCTTGTGAAATTAATCCAACCAAATAAAAAAAAGCCAAGCCAAGCACAATTTGCTCTGAGAAGAGACTCCCTAATCAGGACCAAAGTGTCTGCTTAACAAAAAAACATATAGTATCATTCTTATTGGGGTCCAAAACCACCGTTTTAATCCTTTGCACCGTTTAAGGTCAATACTGGATTTAAAGTCAATATCATATTTGAAATCGTAAGGGAAACCTTGAAAGTTGTCGGAAAAACAACTGCTGGGAAATAGTTTATATTATATAATTGGAGGAGACTTAGAGAAACAAAAAACATGAAGGGGTGAAAGGGAAGACCCATTAAACCAAATTTGGATGACCCATAATCTAGATCCTGAGACCCAGATTCGATTGCACAAGTTTACAAGTACGTGACAGTTTTTGAACAAAAAACAGTACGTCGTCGCTGTCTGGTTACACGCGGAAAAAAGTACATGTTGCATTTAAACAGCATGCTTACACATATAACTAGTGACATGTGGATCACATCGGCATGTGAACCACACCATGTGTGGATTTGTTTGGTTGATTTCCAAATAAAACCCACATTACATCCAGATTCTACCCATACGGGTATATATTATATATAGCCATATAGGCAAAGACCTCAATCTTGCCCACAAATTACCCTCCAGCAATTTAACATGGCAATGGAAAACCAACTATTTATAGACAAATGATTATCACATGTATTTTTCCAAAAGCTGGGATGTACCATGTACCTCCTCCTGCAAACTGACGTCTGTCTGTGGAAAACTAGTGGTTTCCCCGGGAAAATCGTCTACAATTGGTTGATTTTCCATATCGAACTGTTAGTTTACCATAGTATATTGTTCAACTAAATAGGACCAATTTTCCTCCGGCCTGACCAGGGGCAGGTGTTCACGGTCAACACGGGCCACATGGCTCCAACCTGAGGAGAACATCTCCCAAGCGGATTCCCCTAGTCACAGATTGTGATCATCCTGAATATATCAAAGGGAATAGAAACCCCGAAACTAATCAACCAACGAAACTGGGTTTTCGAAACTGGTCAATTGGGATTAAATCCCTAATGATTATCTAATATGATGCTGTATGTATGGTGTAGTAGAAACCTGCAATTGAAAGATTTGCGTTGTAGAGGTTGCAAAATGTTATACGTGCAGTATACAGGAATTGGATAGCCCAGGACATGGTGACCTAGTAGCCTCTCAGTTACACATGATATATATATATATAATCCCCCTTGCTTGATGGGTACCCACCTCTACCCTGGCATGTCATAAATAATATGCAGATACCTAAAGGTTTATAAAATGGGTTACCCTAGGCCCTAGGAAAACCACATTTCTGATATAAACAATGGGGGTTTTATGAAATGCCAACACGTCCAAAGCTGACACTATCCCGATGACATGTTTTTTTTTACATGTTTTATCTATGGAATGCCAGGGTTCATTTTTGGGACTTGCAACAAACACCACTAGAAAATGCCTGGATGCTAGAAAACCCCTTCAAGAAGATATGCGCATCAATGCCATCTATAAAATGGGTTTGACAGCAAATGCCGTCAAAAGTAGAGAAACCCACCACAGGTGGGATACCCTGTGTTAAGTCAAACCCAAACTAGCTTCTGTATTTGCAGCGAGTGCAGCGAGTGCAAAATAGTTGCAGGTTACGCACTGGGAGCATGTTCAATTACAGGTTAAGTAATAACAGAAAGTCAAATAAACATAGGTAATCAAGCCAAACATTTGAAATATCAAATGGCACCCAATGCAGTTCTTCTATTGTTGGAAATATACATTCATGTGCAATCTCCTCAACTCCTACTCTGTGTCCTATAAAATGCCCTTTCTGGAAACTGAGTGGGAATACCTGTGTCCCCCAGGACAAAGCATTTTATAAATATCCGGTCGCATAGATATCTTAAACTTATCTGGGTTTTATTCTATAAAATGGATTCCAGTGAAAAGAAGAATAGAAATACCAGCCATCTTCAGATAAAGGCTTTCTATAAATACAAAAAAGGGCGAACATTTGCATATAGACATCTGCCTGTCTTCAGGATAACTCCCAACTTGGTTCTATAAAATGCCTTGCTTCTTCAGATTGTAGGACAATACCCAGCAAAGGCATGTTATATGCATTTTATGAATACCCTGGTGTGACTACTCGGAGCTGGGGACGGCAGGGACAATAAGGGTTAAAAAAGGAAAAACTCACAACGGGGACGGGGGCAAACAAATGAGAAAGGCACAATGGAGTTATGTGAGATGGTGGGTATAAAGTTTGTAACGACAAAACGATGGTGGCCTAAATAGGCACAAACGACAAACACGATAACACATGTGTTCAGAAGTGTTGAAACACAATGCGTCATGTATACTTGACAAGATATCATTTGTTTATGTAGATGTTTGTGTTGCATATATGGTGCGAACGTCTGTATTGTGTGTATTGTATTTGCACATGTGATGGTAAAGAATAAGTGTAGGCAGTTATTCCACAGTGTAAAGAATCAGTATTAGAATAATTGTAGGTAGTCATTCCATATCCTGGATGCCACCAAACCAGTTCCAAACATCACACTGAGGAAATAGGAAACACAAACCAAATGCTATTTATTTTGTGTGAATGTTTGTTCTGTACTGTATATATAAGCTTTATCGTTTTTGTCAAAGTATTTTTCATATGATTGAAATGTGTTGTGGGAATGTCTTGAATGCAAAAAAAATGTTGTTTGTCCATGCATATCGCACCCAAACTCTAGATGCAGGAAGCAACGTGCAAAATCTAACATACAGAAAAACATAGAAAAACTACCTACCAATCTGCGTGCTCAATCCTATTTAGATATATCATGATGCATTATATATGGTTCTACCCAAAATCTACCTATATACCTCTCATCTATCTAACTATAAAATAACCTTGCTGGAAACTGCGGGGAAAATACCAATGAATCCCAGGCAAAGGCATTTTCTAGATGTCCCGGTGGTCGCATAGATATCTTAAATTTTTTTCTAGGATTTGTTCATTTGGTTCTATACAATGCGGTGTTCCTCAGAATATTGGACAATACCCAGTAATCAACCAGCAAAGGCATTTTATAAATCCCGAACCCTTCCACAAAACCGCCATTCCCAACAATTGTTTCAAACATCGTGCTGTTTTCGTGTATTGTTCATTTTTTAATGATATGATAAATTGAAAGCCCCTTCCTGAACCACTGCCCCACACTACACACCTCAAACCCAAGGATTTCATCTTGCACATCCTTTACAAGGCTTACAAAAAGAGCCGTTTCTTCGTCGCAGGTTCCTTTTGCAAAAAGTCGGTTAACCAAGATGAAAATGCCCTAAGGCCCTAAGGTGGATCATAGCACCAAAATGCCCTGCCGTTCAAAATGGCGGAAAGACTACCATTGAACACTGCGTGGTACCTTTTTCATCTCTAAAATGCAACACCTGTGTCCTGTGTATCACAGCACCAAAAACAAATTACTTTACTTCGAGTGATCCCCACCATGGCATTTATACGTTTTAATATTGGCAAATCTTCTGGCAGTCTGGCATTCTATCTGACATATCTTCTGGCATTCTATCTGACATATCTTCTGGCATTCTATCTGGCATATCTTCCGGCATTCTATCTGACATATCTTCTGGCATTCTATCTGGCATTCTATCTGGCATTCTATCTGGCATATATTCTGACATATCTTCTGGCATTCTATCTGGCATTCTATCTGGCATATCTTCTGGCAAATCTTCTGGCATTCTATCTGGCATATCTTCTGGCATTCTATCTGGCATATCTTCTGGCATTCTATCTGGCATATCTTCTGGCATATCTTCATATCTTCTGGCAAATCTTCTGGCAAATCTTCTGGCATTCTATCTGGCTATCTTCTGGCATTCTATCTGACATATCTTCTGGCATTCGATCCGGGATTCTATCTGGCATATCTTCTGGCATATCCTCTGGCATTCTACCTGGCATATCTTCTGGCAGATGTTCTGGCATATCTTCTGGCATTCTATCTGGCATATCTTCTGGCATATCTTCTGGCAAATCTTCTGGGATTCTATCTGGCATATCTTGTGGCAAGATATGATATTTTATCTGGCATTCTATCTGGCATATCTTCTGGCATTCTATCTGGCATATCTTCTGGCATTCTATCTGGTATATCTTCTGACATTCTATCTGGCATATCTTCTGGCATTCTATTTGGCATATCTCATGGCATTTTATCTGGCATATCTTCTGGCATTCCATCTGATATTCTATCTGGCATATCTTCTGGCATTCTATCTGCCCGTTGAGGTCCAGCAGTGCACGCTGAGCTGGGAAGGTCCCCGGTTAGGTCCAGCGGTGACTGAGCTGGGCAGATCCCAGGTTGAGTAGTGGTGGACACTGCGATGGGCAGGTCCCAGGTTGAGGTCCAGCGGTGCACACTGAGCTGAGACGGTCCCTGGTTGAGGTCCAGCGGTGCACACTGAGCTGGGAAGGTCCCAGGTTGAGGTCCAGCGGTGCACACTGAGCTGGGAAGGTCCCAGGTTGAGGTCCCAGTGCACACTGGGCTGGGGAAGTCGGCAAAGAGCTTGGCGAAGAGAGTTGGCAAAGAGCTTGGCGAAGAGTTGGCAAGGCGGAAGTGGAGGTGGAAGTTGATGCAGACATGGTCGAGGAGAAACTAGAGGAGGAGGAGGAGGACAGCTAGCCGAGGAGGAGGAGGAGGAGGAGAACAACTCTGATAAAATCTAACAACCCTCACCTGGCAGGTGGGGAAGTACATAATCTATCATCCATACATGACGGCCGGATTTTTATAAAAAGCCTGGCCACAGAAAAAATAACCAAACATAAATATATGCGTTCGTATTTGTTTTTTTTGGCGTTTATGAGAAGGTACTTCGAGGGGGGCATTTTGTAACACCACATGTCAAGTTTTGTAAGCAAACAAACAAGGGGGATTATATATATATATTATATAATCCTCCAAATATATCCAGGTGTAGCATGTTGTAACCCTTCTGAGTCCCAATGAGGGGTAGGGGTAGGCGTACAGTAACCCAACTATCCACTTGCAACTCCTGGTGACAGCCTGGTTTATGGCACCAACCCATTGAAGAAAATCTGGCTTTGGTGTGTCATTTTGAGGATCTACACCCTATATGATGAATAGATTGCTACTGAATATCCCATAGATTGATAGTTCACTCCTGCATGTAAACCAATATTTCAATATTATCTACCCAGCTATCAATCCAATGTTAGTCTATAGATGTCTATAGCGGTTTCAACTGAGACCCCATGTCTTGCTGCCCAGCAGTTTCCGGGGGCCCTGACGCTATATCCGGGTGCACAAAGTAACGCTGGCGGTGGCGGCCTCGAAGGATCAATCGGCATTGGGATCTGAGCATTGGCATTGGGACTGAACCCAATGGATTCACCCAACACAACTTGGAATTTTCTGGAAAGTTGGGATTTTTTAGATATCAGATTGAGGGGATGGTTGAAACCTAGAGCCCAAAAATTGGATTGTTGAAAAAAAACATCGCCAGAACCTGTGGTTCTCACCCACACCCCATGGGGCTCATGAATGTGGAGGAAGAGGTGCATTTCTGTCATTAATCTATCAGTTGGTTTGTGTAAAAATAGGTGCTACCCCAATTCATGGCCATCCAATGAAAAAGATGTCGTCACCAAGCATGGGATTTGGGGATTCAATAGTTTCACACTCAAGCCCAGAACAAATATAATTCTCAAACATATACTATCATATATTCCAAACATATTCCAAACACATGCACACATTTTTATCCTCTAATTATTCGAGTACGATGTGCTACTTTCCTAGATTTTGGGGCTGCATTTTCTGTCCAACGATCCACAGTGTCCGATCTCCACTCGGCTCCACACACAGAAGCCACACAGGATCTGAAGGCACCGAGATGAAGGGATGGGAGGATGAAACATCCACAGTCTCAATGGAAATATGTAAGAGATTTAATTATGGTCTGAACGGAAAGTATTCAAATATCCAGGATATCCAGACTTCATTAGGAGATGGGCCATGGGATGCCATGGGATGCCATGGGATGCCAGCCATGGGATGCCATGGGATGCCATGGGATGCCATGGGATGCCATGGGATGCCATGGGATGCCATGGGATGCCATGGGATGCAATCGTTGTGGATTCTCAGTGGTTTTCATGCCATGTTGATCCTCTCAAGCAATCGCCATCAGGTGATAGGACCTGTTGCTATGGGGGATTCCATGTGTGTCCAATCCGCCCCATGGTGCTATGCTCGGTGGAGATGACGGATCCCAATCTTGGGCCCATGTTGACCGGTTGCAGTTTATGGCTACTGCTGCTCCATCTCAACAAGTTAGTGAGATTCAATGATTCCATATGATGCTCCTAGGTACTCTTTGCTGTTGTAGTGTCCAAACTACACTGCCCCACCGAAAGTCGCCCGCGGATGCGCCTATCCAAAAGCGGTGATGGGGTACGGATTCGTGACAGGCCAGGAGACGCAGGCACTTCTCGTTCTTCTTCCTGTAGTTTTTCTATCGGCAACACACTTGGAAAAAGGAGAACAACAACAAAAACCGCTATTGAAAACAAAAACATCAAAATCGAACGGGATCCCAAGCAAGAAACGGCCCTCCAAGAGAATTGTGATGTTGGGTGTGATTCGAGACGAACGAAAAAGTTATTCCCTTCGAACGAATTACCATCTGCCAACTAACACCCTTAGCTCAGCACCTATGTTTAGAGGAAAGTAGTCTTCCAACCCCTATCTGGCAGGGTGCATGTTCATTGGATGGATGGTAATTGTTATCACCTACTTTGCGCGCCGCCACCGATTATATAAAACAACCACCAAGTGGCCATATTCCAGGGCCCGGTCTCGATTCGACGTCGCGGTGTCTCAGTCGATAACAGAAGGCCAAGTGGTGAGAATGCGATGGTGCGGTGTTCACTTTTGCAAGCTGGGGGATATCGGGGAATATCGGGGAATATCAGGGATATTTAAAGTTTAAAGCAAGAAAAAACGTGGATTTCGCCGCCAGTAATGGATCTTATGAGTCTATGCAAAATTGTGATTAATTGACGACAAGGGATTAAATTAGCAAAGGTAGTTGGAGAGCACCAAAATGGCTCGGTAGACCCTTCGGGCAGACCCTTCGGTGAAGCCACCATAAGCCACCCATCCTCTTTGACGTGGAAATATTCAACTGCTGATCAACAGTCCAGAAAAATAGGTGACCAATTAGGCAAATTTATTGTAATTTATTCATTCACGTCAACATGAAACAGCCTTTTTTGGAACATCATTCTCTCAATCCTCAATTCCATCATGCCTGAAAATCTCTCACCCCATTTTTACCTATCAAATTGCAATTGACCAGACACACACACAAATACAACAAATCAAATTTCCAGGGTGTACACCATTTCCAGACACACACAGACTTGATCCTTCATCTAGCAGTCTATGAATCAATGGATTGGTTTGAGAAAATCTACAGTAGTCCCTCAGATTTGGTGCGTAAAAACATGAAAAACATTAAAAAAAAACATGGTTTTCAGTTTCCATTAGACTTTCCCTTAAACCAATCTATTTTCCATGAGTCGATATGAGGTTTGCTTTAGCATTGAGTCCCTTCTACCATCCTCCTTGTCTGCCCTATCAGGCCACGCCATAGTTCCGTGGCGACCCTGGAGCGTCAGAAAGGCCGTCCTCAGCCTGCAAGATGCCCAGTGATGCCCAGTCATTCCCTGATTTCTGTAAGCAAAAAAGAAACAAATCCAGATACCACGAGATCAAACCAGATTTGTCACCCAATACTTTTTTGTCAAGCATGGAGTGGAGGCTGAATAAACCAAACAAAAGTCCAATCTGGAGAATATTGAACACAAAATAAGGAACTAACGAATTTAACCAATGCAATACTGGGAAATTGACCAATAAAAACGGCGATTTGTGAAATGAATCTGGTGATTTCAGCATAGTCAGCATATCTGAAAAAAAAATCACAGCGAGTGACCCAAGCACAAATGGGGATTTCATCAGCACCTGACCGACACACCGCGAACCATCCCAATGATTCATCTTGAAAAGGAACAAATTACAAGCTGGGGCCAAGCGGCCAAACGATAGCGAAGTTGGTTTATTAATGATGTGGTATACTGTAGATGGACGAAATATTACATAAAACCTTTCTATCCGAAACACCCCCCTCGCCCCCAAAGTTCAATGTTGATGCAGCCTGGGGGGCATTAGCCCCAATGGACGAAAGAAATCAAACCCTCAACATCACTTTTGCTAACACACGCGCTGAAACATTGAGCTTTGGGGGTGCAGGGGTTCAACATAGTGTGTGTTGCAGGGTTTGAATATTTTGTCCATTTACTGTCTCGCCCTCTGATGTTTTCGCATTTTTTGGCATCAAAACTCTATTGTAAAAACATCTGTGTGCATGCTGCTGATGGTATTCCAAACTGCGCAAAACGTTGCCTTGTCACAGGTGCATGGAGCCTGCGTCTCGCATGCAATTTTTTTCTATTCTCATATATTCCAAAACGCGCAAAACAATAGAAAAAAATGGCATGCGAGACGCAGGCTCCATGCACCTGTGACAAGGCAACGTTTTGCGCAGTTTGGAATACCATCAGCAGCATGCACACAGACGTTTTTACAATAGAGTTTGGATGCCAAAATGTGAAAACATCAGAGGGCGAGGCAGTAGATGAACAAAATATTCAAAACCTTTTTCTATCCGAAACACCCCCTTAGCCCCCAAAGTTCAATGTTAATGCAGCCTGGGCATTAGCCCAGGTGGGCGAAAGAAATCAAACCCTCAACATCACTTTTGCTAACGCGCGCGCTGAAACATTGAGATTTGGGGGCGCGGGGGTTCAACATAGTGTGTGTTGCAGGCTGCAGGGATTGAATCTTTTGTCCATCTACTGTATCTATCATATTGCATAAATCTATAGTTAATGAAGTTTCTAAAGCAACATGCCTGACCAGGGGCCACCACTTTGTAGAAACACCAATATAAATATAGTGTTTTTACCTTCTTCTTCTCCCTACGGGCCACCTCTTTTCCTTGTGGCAAATGGCGGTTCCAAGCTCTCTGGGTCTGTTTCTGTGCTTACTGGAATGTATGCATGCAATACAGCAACGACAAAAAGATCAAGAGTGAAATCCCATAAATAGTGATGATTTACTGCTCTATCTTTTTTGGGTTTGCTACTGTATGCACATAAATGTGTATGTATAGCTGATTGTATGGGGACCGAAGATACGCTGCCACAGTGTGCTACCTGTAGAGTTGGCACATTTTGCTGTATTTCAACATGTGATACCCATACCCATGATACCCCAAAATCAATACCAGGGGTTGCAAACCCATATATAATTATCTAAATTTGGATGATTTGGTGGTAGTCGCCATTTTGAGAAAGCAACATCTGTGTTCACCGGAGCTCATCAACATTTAACAACAACTACTCCTGCTCAAAAAGCCATCAAACATGGATAAAATTGGAACTATCCAAGTACTGCCGCAGCCATCCAGCCGCCGCATGACACACTGCCCATCGAGGAACGCCAATCATGAGTTCTAGTGCTCCACCTGAGAACGGGGATACGCCCAAGGCAAGTGGCCGTTTAATCCCACATGATAAACCGTGGAACTTGGGGGCATTCCCAAAATATTGTGACAAACCCAAAAAAAAATCCAACAAATCCTATGCATGGAGCAAATCTCTGGGGATATCTATCTACCATCATCTGCCCGGCTTTGATTCCTTTCGTTGGTCACCGTCTTGGGCGGAATTTCCCATTGAAAGAGCATCATTCACGGTTGCGTCGGGCTCCACCAATCCAGACACCCAAACCCAAAATTACATCAGAAAAGCTGACAACAATTCAACATAAGTTTAGAAAACGACCTTATTACATCTTCTTACCATATCACCTCTACATCCAATTTTGCTCCATTCTAGGCCACTAAATGTTGACCTCTGATTAATCAATAGGGCCCCCCCTCTTTGCCCCTAAATAGATTTCTAGCCACCATCAAACTTGTTTGTAAGTATTGATTTTCAATTACCACAGTTGAAAATGAATTACAAAATGCAATTTCCAAACAAAATAAGGAATCCAACAATTGTTTTAGTATTGATTTAGTATTCATCTGGGCAAATCTTGGGTTTAGGGCCAAAAAAAATAGCTTTATTTAGGGTCATTTATTATTTAGTTTGGGAGTTTGGTTAGCTTTATATATTTAGGGTGAGTTTTATAATCGTAGGTGAACATTAAAATCTGATTGTGAGTGACCCCATTACAGTCCCAATATCACCTCAATTTAATAGCTGAGAGCCCAGCACTTTGGAAGATGGCTTGGAGATGGATCGGGGGTGCGGTAGCCACGATTCAACGATGGCAGACCGCGCTGCGGTGGTGCAAATACAAGTTTCCCCTGGCAGAAGGCGGTGGTCGCATGATACATTTCAGGTAGCTAAAATGAGGTAGCTACTCAAATGAAAGGTCAATGTAAGGTCCATGTAAGGGTATCTCACCCAGATTAATATGGCCTTGTATGGCATAGTACCTCCATCATTATAGGCACCATGTAACCAGGAAATGTAAAGGGACCTATATCCACATGTTGCATATACTGCTACAAGCAGGAAAGTAGCCCCAAAATACTGGTACCAGTGTCATGATTAATCACTATCATAGATTATGAATCACAATTCACTATTATAATATATATATATATTATATTATATTATATTATATTATATTATATGAAAATTGCAGCTTTAAGGGGCCCGTCCCACAGGCTCAAACATACCCATAAATCTTGAGAATTCTTTCACCCCCGCCCTGTGCCTGCCCGCGACTTGATTCATCCCAACCGCCTGGCTTCAGAATGTCCAGTTTTCCCAAGAAAAAAAAACACACAATTTTACATGGACCCACAAATTCGTAGATCCAATACTATATAAACAGCAGCGTTTTTTTGCTGGATTCAGCATTCGGGAGGAATGCTTTTTTAGAAGGATTTGCTGTCTTTTAACGGCGAATGTAATAGAAATTGGCAAACTTCCTGTGCCGGCTGCCAGATTGGATTGCTGGTACTACTTCCGGGCAATTTTTTGAACCCATTACCTTCGATTTCGCCATTCCCTTCAGTGGTTTGAATGTCATTCTTGGGTGCACAAAGGGGAAATGAATGAAAATCACCAACAATGCTCTGGATGTAAAAACTCTGGAAACTGAAGTCCCAGTGTGAGGATCCCCATTTTCTGGAAACCTCAAATCCAGGGGGGATTGATCGCCCAGCGTCTTGGGCTGTAACACCATCTCAACAAATCTGGGGATCCCGACTCGAAATTGCTGATGGGGAATGGGTCTCGAACGAAGTAGATGCACTTTCCTGCAAGGACTGTGCTGCAGAACCAGCTTACCTGAATTACCTGGTTGTAAGTACATAAATGTTGGCACACTTGTTCATGGAGTGTTCGGGATGTGCAAGGGCTTGTGTCAAGCCTTAATTTCAGACAAGACTCCCAAAAGATCCTGAACAAATCACTACTTGCATTTTCAACATGGGGACTATGACGATCCACTGGATTTCAGGGTCCAACCCTCAATACTGGTGACGGTTCCTGGAAAAATCAATGGATTTGGATTGACTGAAAGGGGAAAAGCACAAGTAACATCAATTCAGAAATCATGGTTTACCACCGTATACCAAAGTTTTCCTGTTACATATAAACCCTCAAATCTGAGAGAGAAAGGGCAGCTGGCAGCATTCCGGAGCCTTATCTTGTTCAGGCATCTTCTCCGCGGGATTTTGCGCATCCCGCACCTCCAACCCCACGGCTTACCGGGCCCAAATCGGCTCCAATATGGCGATAGTGATTTGATAAATGCAATCCCTTCATATCTCGAACACTAATATCAGTATCATTTGGAGATTGTTGTTTTATGATGAAGATTATTGGAAAAATGGAATGTGAATTAATGCGAGAATTTGGGACGTTAATCAATGGAGGTTCGCTTAATAACATTCCGCGGAAACCATGGCAGAACCACATCACATTCTCAAGCAAACCCAAGTCTGGGTACCCTTGCCCATCCCAAGCCGGTAAGAAGATACCTTAACTTATCTTATGTATTACACTTGCATAACTTGTATACTACTACTACTACTCCTACTCCTACTCCTACTACTACTACTACTCCTACTCCTACTCCTACTCCTACTCCTACTCCTACTCCTACTCCTACTACTCCTACTCCTACTCCTACTCCTACTCCTACTCCTACTCCTACTCCTACTCCTACTCCTACTCCTACTCCTACTACTACTACTACTACTTCTACTCCTACTCCTACTCCTACTACTACTACTACTACTCCTACTCCTACTCCTACTCCTTCTCCTACTCCTACTCCTGCTACTACTACTACTACTCCTGCTGCTACTGCTACTACTACTGTTACTACTACTACTACTACTGTTTGAAGATCTGTTGGAACATTTTGATGATGGAGCATTGTGTGGCACGTCAATGTTTTTGGACCGTGAACCTGAGTGCTCGTGTTTGTTGCAAGACTTGCATCATGTTGGGACCTCTATTCCAGTGCCATTGAAGCACATTCTTCCACAGAGGTTTACCACTCAGTTACTTGTTCAAACATTGAGAAAGATTGATCAGTTGCCAAGGAGTACAGAGGCTAGTGTCAGAGAATCAACTGACCCCAGAATCATTGAACTGATTCCTGGACTTCAAGATGTCAGAAAGAAGACATTGCCTCAAATGTACTTTGAAGATTGCAGTGTATTCAGAGGAACTTATGGAAGAGTGAATCCTTTGTTTCAACATCCTGAAGATGCTGTCTTACTCATTTGGAAACCTGGTGACTATGATCATGTTTACTTCATGTTTGTGTCACAGTTGTATCCACATCATGAACAGTTCAAAATCCATGAATGGAGTATGATCGTCTTTTCACGAGAAACGACTGGTGCAATCAAGCGGAGAGTAGCAGATCCTCCTGTTCAAGGAGGTACACCACCAAATGGAGACGATCCCATTCATCCAGATCAGCATGGTGATGTTCCACCAAATGATGATGAGATGTTGAGTGGTGATGAACCAGAAAATCCTCTGGATGATGATAATCAACCTGATTACAATACTGGACCTGATCCAGACGATGATGATGATCAAGAGTACATCATTCCAGATGATTATGGACCACCACCTGATGATGATTTGGATATGCCAGGAATACAGGACTCGGGGGAAACACATCAACCAAGTTCACCATCAACTCCGTTTTCAAATCCTGACATTCCAATCGAAGAGATTGCTGATCCTGGACAAGATGACGATTCTCCACCAGGACCTGATCCGACGTCAGAGCCTATTAGAGTTCAAAGAAAACAGAGACAGATCTCAACTGATTGTACTGATGCTTTACCAAAGGCAAAGGCAAAGGTGATTATCAAGAGGCCAAAGGTTCAATTACCAGGTCATGTTCAGCCAATTTCAGTTCCTACTCAGAAACCTCATGATGAAGAAGATGAAGGACCTTCACATGATCCTACTGCCTCAAGTTCACATGATAATACAATTCCATTGCCTACTACTACACCAACATCGTTTACGCCAGGTGACTTTGCGCAGCCAGCGCAACAGCAGTCTTCACAAGGAACACCAGAATTGGTATCATCACAACATGATGATGATGAAACAGAACCATATGAAACAGACGACACTCCTGTTTTGACTGAGGATGACATTGCTCAGCTTCAGGAAGAAGATGTGGACACTGAACCTTACACATCAGACCACTCTCATTTTGTCAATGTTGATGGTACTGTTTTTGTTCCTTTAGGACCAAAGGTTCAAGCTGCACCTGAGTTTGGTTCATACGATGTTACTGGATTCAAACAGTTTGAACAGTATCTTGCCAAGAATGGAAAGAAGCAGCCAAAGGCAGAATCAGTTATCACTCAAGAAGTCTTGAGAAAGTATGCTAAGGAGATCAAACAAGCCAAGCTTGAAGAATTCAGAAGTTTTCTGGATTTCACTGCCATGACTTTCAGAGACAAGAGACGTCATAAGATTGATAACTATGTCACTGGCAGATGGGTGCTTACCATCAAGGTTGATAAGGATGGACAGTTCAAGAAGTTCAAGGCTAGATGGGTATGTAGAGGCTTTCAAGATGCTCAAAAGTATGACTTACAGACTGACAGTCCTACTGCTACCAGGTATGGTTTTCGTGTGGCATCTCAGCATGCAGCCTCGATGTACTGGGATTTACTCCATTTAGACTTGAAAACTGCCTTCCTTCAGGGGGAAACATACGACTTAGACCGCCGCGTTATCCATGTTCAGTTGCCTACTGACATTGGTTTGCCTCCTTACTTGGTTGGTTTGTGCACTCGTTCCGTCTATGGACTTGCGGACGCACCACGTAGATGGTGGAACCGCCTTGACAAATTTCTGATTTCGCTTGGTATTCAACCAACAAGAGCTGACAGGTGTACATATGTATGCTATGATGGTGCTTTTAAGGAGCCAAAACAGGTTAGCTTTGCTGACTCTGAGGCAACAGAACCAGCACCTGTGACATACTACGTAAGCTCACAAGACAGTGAGGAAACGCGTGATGAATCCTCCGACATTGCTGAGGAAGTTCATAAGTCTCTTTTGGTTGAAGAAAGATTGTTTTCAGCTTGCTATCAACAAACCCAAACATGGAAACAGAGGAAAGAGTTCAAGGAGAAGAAGGTTGAAGATTGTGCTTGGACTCCTGTTGTTGATGAAACCTTGTTGAAGTTTTTGGAATCTGTTGAACACAAGTCTGGTTGGTATCCTTTTGAAAATGGTCATGCTCAAGTTGCTTATCGTGCAAAAGCTTTGAGAACTCCTGATTCACATTATGATCGAAAGAAGTTTCACTTGAGAACTTCTATTGTGAAGAGGAAAGGAGTTTGGTGGTTGCTTGAGATGAATCATGACATGAACAAGGAAAATGTTTCCACAAGTTTGGAAGAAGAAGCTGAAGTACTTGTTTCAGTCTTCTTACCTTCAGAGCGTACTTATCTTGCCACGACACCACAGTTGACACCTGAGATTGTTGAACAACTCATGGAACACTTCATGGACCCTGTGAATGGCAGTAATGCCATGGGAAGAAAACCTATTGGCATGTGTTGTTTACATGTTGACGACTTGTTCATTACTGGAACTCCAGAGTTTCTGGAGAAGTTCAAGAAAGTTGTCAAGTCACAATTCAAGATTGGTCATGAGGATGTGAATGACTTGATGTTCACTGGTCAACGTGTGAAATGGATCATTGATGAGAAGACTAAGAAGAAATCACACATCACTGTTGAACAATCACTTTGTGTCAGTGAACTTACTGAGGTTGTCATACCAAAAGGTTTGAAGGATGAAGACAAATGTGACAAGGATCTCCACACTGCCTATAGATCACTCTTAGGTAGTATCAATTGGTTACAATCAAGAACTCAATTTCAGTCATGTTATCAGTTTTCACGTTGTGCTTCTGCTGCTGCTTCCCCCACCATAGGTGATTGCAAAACGCTGAACAAACTTTGCAGGCAAATTGTAGGTGACCCGATGGAACTTATGTTCTGGCCACTTCAAGGTGATCCTAGATTAGTTGCAATGCCAGATGCAGCGTTTAGGAACAACAGCGACAAATCCTCACAGCGCGCGATGGTTATTTTCATGGCTGAACCGAGGAAGGAAAAGAGCAAAAACACTAGAGGTTCACTTATTTTCTTTGAATCAACCAAAATCAAACGAACCACGTTGAGCACAACTGTTGCAGAGTTGTATGCACTCATGAAGTGTTATGGTACATGTCAAATGTTGAGAGGACTGATCAAGGACATCACTGGACTTTCAAGTGAGATTCATATGAGGACTGATGCAAACAATCTTGTGACTACTGCCAGCACTACTCATGTTCCTGAACAACAAGAGACCATTCATATGATTCAGATGCTGAGGAAGGAAGCATGTTCAGGTTCCATTGCTGACTTGTCACATATCAGAACTCAATGGTGTTTAGCTGATTGTTTGACCAAGAAGTCTGCTAATCCTCAGAATCTTATTGATGCTGTTCGACAAGGTGTTCTTAAAGAAGTTGATGCTCATCCACCATTTAAATCATTACTGGAACACTAAGCTTACCTCAGGTCATGGTTGCCTCAGACATGATGTATTTCTGTTAGGTGACACCTTGAGGGATTCTTGACTATTTTTTGAATTTGTGCCTGCGGCTCAAAAGGCAGAGTCTCGAGGATCGTACTGTTTCTTCAACATGTCGAGCTCTAGCCGGTGGAACAGGGCCTCAGCCGCAGCATCTAGTGATCAGGCACAATCGAATACTCGAGGTCAAGAATATCAAAGTTCTGGATATGATGCTACTGGAACACACTCATCTGATGGATATGCTCTGAGAAGATCAGAGGGAATCCCAGATGACAGATTTCGAACACCATCGACATTACCCAATGAGGACCATTTATCATTTTGCTATGATTACAGGCGCAAACAGATTGGTTTCAGGCTCACAAGCAAGTGAGGAAGAAGAGAGAGCGCAATTTACATACATTGATGGGTCCACACAACATGAGACCAACTGACAGACATGAAATGTTCATGGACGCAATAGCTTGGATTCTGCACTGGGGAACTAGTCATGGAGAATTTGATGAATCTTTGAAATGGACTTCAAGTTTTCTGAAGTATCTTTGTGGCTTTACAACTCAAGCAGAAGAAAACTGGTTTGATGAACGATGCAATGATTTCCACG